CGCAGCCCGGGGGGCTGCAGCGGGAAGGCCATGGGGAAGCCGGCCATGTACAGCACTCTGCCCACGCGCTTGGCCACCTGCCGAGAAACAGAGCGACATCAGCGCGGGGGGACAAAAGGGATGAGGATGTGCACAAAGCAGCCTCGGAAACCTGTACGCAGCAGGCCCGGCTTCTGTGCTCCGAGGTGGACTGCACAGAGAAGAGCGAGGCTGCATCATCTGAATCCAGAGCGTTCCCAGTCCACCACGTAAACCCCTTGGTGACTTCCCAGAGAAAACCAGGGAAGGTTTCCTCCTCTCCTTGTTTCCCAAAGGACTCTGTCTTGCAATAATGGTCCCTAAGCTGTTTTACTGAGTGCTTTGGTGCATGGCAAAACCCACCAGCAAGTGGTTTTCACTGGTTTTCCACTCCCTAAGGCTGTTTTCAGGAAGTTTTCTGAATAGGATATCTGGAAATCAGCTGTATTACTAATTAAGTTTTAATTGTAGGGGATCTCTCCGACCTCTGCCTTTAAAGCCTACAACTCCTGGACACCCTTAAACTCTCTACAGTGCCCACCCCTAGTGTTCCTTGTAATAATTCATTAACTGGATAACAGTGGCCAATGTTTAATATGTGTGCTTACCGTCCTGATTTTTGGCTTTTCCGAATCCTCCAGAAAGATAAAGGATGTTGTCACTTGGTTACCAGGGCTGTGGGTCAGGGATGGGCAAGGACACTGCTCTTACCTCGTGTCCAAACCAGGTACTCTCGAGTGACTGCAGAGTCAGTCCTGATTTACACTGGTGTAAACTGAGCACACCGAGCCCAAGGTGTCTGAATTGCAATACATAAAATGCTCTGTTGTGTAGAGTTGGCACTTACTTGGTTTATCTTCTAAGGTGACTTTTGCTAGTGGTTTTGGCATGCACCAAAGTACAGCTGGAGCTACAAGGTCTACCCCAGCTCACATCTCGGGGTGAAGATGAACTGGGACTTGTCCTGTGATGCATTTTGTGTCCATCTGTGCTCTTTGGCCAGGACAAGACCGAAAGCCTCAAGGACAGCACAGGATCTCCATTTCTGAGGAAACCAGGAGCTGCTCTGAAGGGGGTTTGTGCCGATGGGCTGAGGGAGGGACCCTGGGCAGCTGCTGTTCACTGGATGGGGGAACGCAGAGCGTGCAGCCGCTGCTTCTGCCGTGGAGGAACCTCCCGAGGCCGCTCTGGCCCCCCAGCAAGGGCCAAAGGCCCCACAGCTCCCCTGCACCTCCACAGCTGGTTCACATTTAGGCTTAACCAGAAACACAGGCGTGCGTTCACACCAGACAACCGCCGCTTTATGCAGTTAGCGGCAGCGGGGCTTTGCTCCCCAGTTACCCCCCCAGCCCTGCCTTATTAGAGAACTTTAAACACTACTGATTAAATGGAAGCAGGGTTTTTCTAGTTTCAGCCCGTATCTCATCTTCCCCCCCCTCCACCAAACCCGATCTGAGAAGGTCTGTGAGCTATTTGTGAGCTATTTGGCCTTCTCTGTGCTTTAAGAAACAGAAGAGTTTTATTTCCTACTGAATTGACCCACGGGGAACAATTGCCCACAGAACCTTTTTATGAGCCCCCTCATAAACAGCCAGGGCTGGAGGGAACGTGGGCAAGTCGCTCTTATTGTTTTAACATCATGTAACGAATGTATAGCTTTATACAGATATAAAATATGCTGGAATGGTGACTTATCTGTGCAGGGAGGTAGCACAGCCCACCAGCACAACCAGTAAGCTGTGACCAGTAAGAGAGAAAACCATTACAGACATCTATTGGGGCGCAGCAGAGAAGGGAAAGCGCTGCCCCGTTACTCATGGGGAGGGAAGGTCAGCAGCAGCTGACACTGAGATGTGTTCAGTGCATTTGTGCTCCAAGCCTCGCTAAAAAAGAACTGCCAAGAGCCACCTCCTGACAAGGGAAATGAGCAGCAGCCGTCTCCCCAGTGTAGAAAACAGCCACAACTGGTTCCTCAGAAGGCTTCACCCTGATCTTTAGGTACCTCGGGATGGCCACTTTCAGGTTCAGCTGATCTGAAACCCTACCTGCCTGTTTGTTTGCAGCTTTTCTTGGGGCACAGCCCAATGTGTCTTTGCTAGCAGGAGCTGGGCCATTCTCGGAGCTTCCCACCACATCCCTGTGTCCTGAACCATTTCCCTCTGCCCCAAGCACTGCATAATCTGTGTTGTCTTCCTGAAAGCGTTATGTGTCTGACTCCACGATATGCAATGGTTTGGAGGACAAATCAAGCTTCCTTGAAACCTTGAAATTACAAATTTAAAAGTTGCTTGATAAATTATGTTCAGTCTCTTGCCAGCTCCATTCCAGGCAGGGAGAACGTTGAAGCACGCAGGCAATCCTCCTACCTGTGAGCGTATCTTGAGCGCAGGTCCCAGTTTGAGCCCCATGTTGTTCAGTAAGTGCTCCTCCGTCAGCAGGGGCAGGGTCTCGCCATCAATCGCCTGCTCCCGGAATACCTGGAAGAAAGCAGAGCACGGGTCCAGGCTCAGCAGCGCTGGGGACGCACCCGAGGGGCTCACTGGGTCATGGCACAGATGGGTCCCATAGAAAAGGGGACCTCTGAGACCCTCGGTGATGAAGAAGGCCCATATTAACACGAGAGGTGTACAACATCCTGCACCCACAGCAAGGAGCCAACACGTTAAAGAAGACCTGTGGAGATGTTGTTTAAATACAGCAATGGAAGTTGTTTAAATACAGCAATGGATTTTTTTTTCTAATGATTATTTTTGGTAATATGTTGGGATGAGGTGTTTAGGTTTTTCTCCCTGCAAAACATCCCCAGGTTTAAGCAACCAAAACAGCTGACCTAAGTGCAACACTATGAGCTGATTGATAGCATATGATAGCAGAGTGGAGAAAGCTGCCCAGGGGCCCTACCCCACCTCCAAAAAGGGCAGGAGACATAGGAGAAAAGAGGAGAATCTAAAGTTTGGCAAATCCGAGGTCACTCACACTTGTGTGGCTATTTGGGAAAAGCTGACCCAGTAGATTTCAAAAGCATTTGCAGTTTTCAGTGAGGCACACGCAACCGAAAAGGAGGAACTCATTTGTTTGTGCATTTCCTCTCAGAGCTGCTCGTTGCCAAACCAGGCTCCAGGCAAATACACAAATAGAGATCACAGAGTCACTGATGTTGGAAGAGACCTCAAAGATCATCGAGTCCAACCCCACCATGGCCACTAAACCACGTCCTGAAGTGCCACATCCACACACAATTAAAACTGTAATTATTTCCATTACAAAATGGAAAAAAATCCCACTTTGTTTTGCCTCTATTTCAGCTGACAGGGCCATGCAGGAGTCCCCCCAGTATGCAGTGTTACAAAGGCTGAGGGCTGGATACGTGGTGTTATTGCTCCATTCCCCATGCTCGGAGCAGGGCTCTGCTCACACCAGCCTCCCCTGGGTGTTCACACTGCACACACAGCTCAGTGTCACTGCTGTCACTTGGTCATCTGGCTTCCCCCCGGCCCTGCGAGGTGTCAGTGGGACACCAGGGTTCTCTTACCACCCCTCCACTCCGCAGCGGGATTTTGGATCACATTGGATGCTCACCCGAATGAAGGGGCCCGACCCTGCTGTCTCCCCATGCTCAGGCACAGCATCTTCATTACTGAGCACCATGGCAAGGAAGGGAGGTTCAATTTACTCCAATGGCTTCTGTTTCAGCTGTTTCACAGCCCCAAGCCAGCCCCTCGGAGCTTTTGTTGAGTGTTTTTATTGCTGGGCTCCACCAGCAAAGCTGCTCTGACTGCAGCGTGCTTCTGCTCTCTGACCCAGCAAAACTCCCTGTACCCATCTCTCTTCTTTCCTCCAAAGCCAACACGGCTGGGAGCCAAAATTCTCCCTCCATTCAGCACTAAAACCCACCCAAAAAGCCTTAAACTTGAGAAAAGCTTCCCCCTCGGGTGTCCCCAGGCCTGGATGTGCTGCAGGGACAAAGCTGAACGTTGTCCAGGGCTGCAATGGGGAACAGGGCCTTGTTTTTGCTGCAGTTCTCCTGTCTGTCTGAAGCCCATCTCAACACGCAGCACAGCTCACCACCGAACTCCTGCTGGCTTTTCCTGGCAGGAGAAGCCCGCAGAGCAGAGCAGAGCAGTGCCAGACCTCCCCAGCAGCCGCGGTTTTGGGGAGGGGAACACAGGCACCTCTGCGACGGAGCTGGGTTGTCCTTGAACACTGGCATTTTCACACAGTAAAACCCCGTTAGTGTACAACCATCGCACATAAATCGCATCCTCCCTGAGGCCGTGCGCCCCTGCGCGATGCCGCATCGCAAGGCCGCGACAGGAGGCTGTTCACAGCAGCTCCTGTTCTCATAACACACTTGGTTTGCCAAACCTTTGTCTCTGGGAGCTGATTCCTCCCCACTGATGCACAAGGAGCTGTGTGGAAGGTGGGAATGCGTGGTCCTGCTGCAACAGATTTCTGCACGATTCCTACCAGCCCAGTTCAGAAGCTGCCAGGCAACTCTGATCTTCCTTCCCCATGCATCTTTTTTAACCAGGGTCCTTTCCCTCCCTCTCTCCATCATCAGGACCTGGCCTTTCTCTGTGCCACACACCCATCACCCTGACCCACTCCCAACACAACCCAGTTCTCCGTCCCCTCTTGGGCAATGTTACATGTGCCCCATCTCTGTACCAAGCACTCACTGTCCTCAACTCTGCCTCTTGCTCCAAAGCAGCGCCCGTTTCTTCAGGTGGTTTTAACAAAGCACGTTGTGATGGGATCAGCATCACGGCTCGGGGCCAAGGAAGGACACATTTTGGATTGAAAACACATTATCCCATCACCTAAGCAAGAACGTGGAGGTGTGGGGCAATCGCAGCTTCCCCATCCCCTCTGGAGGGATGCAGAGGGATGCACCCTGCCCCACAGCACACTCCCAAATCAGCGTAAAATAAAGGGAACCGGGTCCCCAGAGCCAAGAAAAGTGGTGCTGAGCTTTACCCTGCCCAAAACAGCCGGGGGTGGGCACAGATTCTGGCAGAAGACACTCACCAAATGCAACTGAGAGAGGGGCAGACAGCAAAAGCCAAGGAGAAATGAGAGCACAGCTCTGCACTCCCCAGTCTACGATGCCTCCCTGCTGAAAGGCTGCATTGTCCCAAACTTTGGCCCTTTGCCCCTCTATCTCTGCTACCTTCAGCGCCCCCTTCCCAGCTCTGTATTCCCTTTACAAGGCTGTCCCAGGCAGTGCAGGAATCCGGGCCCCTGCGCTTGGTGCGTTCTCTCAATGGGGCATTGATAAGAGACTTCAACAGATGCAGAAGCCAGAAACACGGGGTTGGTTTTTGTACTGCACCCCACACTGAGCCGGCTTTACGAAGCCCCCAGCACCGATGGATATTTCACCTCTGCTACAAAAGAGCCTAAAACTCAGTGGCCATCACATGGGGGTGTTTGCGGAGGGAGAGGCTCACCTGAGTGTACTCGGTGCAGCCAGCCAGGTTGGACACGAAGCTGCAGACATCCTCCACCGTCCATTTGCTGATGTCTTCCAGCGCGGGGCTCTCCTCACCATCCAGAAACAGACCTCCCATGGTGCCTGGGTTGTTTGGAGTCGGAGGGGGGGGGGTGGGAAGGACGGGAAGAGAAAGAAACATAAATCATTAAAATCCCACACGGACAACAACTAGGCTGCAATCTGAATATTTTTCTCTAGCCACACATTCATCTTTAATGACCTGTCAATTAAAGCGCTGGGCAGGGTCAATTCATAGGCCTCTTCCTCCTGGAGGTCCCCAGCTTAGCAAGGGGGGCAGGGGAAAGGAAAAATCCCAGCTAATGCATTTCATGTGTTTAATGTTCTTCAGCTGCGGGGAAGAAACAGGGGGGGAAGGGAGAGAAAAGGGAAAAAAGCCCTGAAGAAGTGTTTCTCCACACGCACCGCAAAGCGGAAAACTCTGCCTGCCCTGTGGGTTGCTTTCCCCCAGCCCGGCTCCTGGCTACGTGCTCCGAATGGTAACGGGCCCCGGCTCCAATCCCTGGTGGCCCACGGCCGTGAATGGCTGGAGAACGCCTCGCTCTTTCCAAATTGTTCATTCTCAACCCAGCCCAGCCCAAAATATCCATCAAATGCGTCCGAATACAGCGCCCTGTGCTCCAGCCCAGCGCCTGACGGGTGACGGGCCGGCCCCTGCCGCCCCCGCAGGTCGAGCCGCTGCGTCAA